TATGCTGACGATGTTTTACTTTTTCTTCAGAACACAAAACTCAATATCTAATGTTATCAAATTAATAAACTCGTTCTCAAAAGTTTCTGATTATTCTATAAATTGGTCAAAATCTACAGCTCTTCCAATAAACTGCGTGTTTAATACTTCTCTCAATGAAAGACTACAATCAGGTAACATTACATACTTGGGCATTAATATTTCTCCTAGATTGGAAGACTTAATAAAATTGAATCATATTCCAATTTTAAAGAACATTGAAGATGATCTTACTAGATGGAAATCTCTGCCCATATCACTTATGGGAAGAGTTGCCTCAGTAAAAATGATGGTCCTGCCGAGAATAAACTATTTATTCTCAATGATTCCAAATAAACCTTTAACTGAATGGTTTAAGTCACTGGACTCTTTGATATCTAAATTCCTTTGGCAAAACAAAACTCCACGTATTAGCTTAAAAGCATTACAGAAATCTAAAGATACCGGAGGATTAGAACTTCCCAACTTCTATCACTACTATTTAGCCAATAGGTTACAATATATCTCAAAGTGGTTAAATCCAAATACATTAGATGAAACTTGGATAGACATAGAACAAACTTTATGCAATAATATTAAGATTTCAGATCTACCATTTATTAGCACAAATATAAAAAGACATGTTTGCTTTAAAAGCGTCAGTATTAGCTCTTCTCTGACAGCATGGTGGGAGTATTTGAAAATGACAAAATCTTCACTACTCCCCTGTAGACATACACCCATCTGGAACAATCCTGACATCCTACAAGAAAATAATATGTTAAATTTCCCAGGTTGGAGAGTCAAGGGAATTGAACGTCTGGAACACATATATGAAGGTGTAGACTTTATTCCATTTAATAATTTAATAATACAATTTGACATTGAAAATAAATACTTCTTAGAATATCAACAAATTAAGTCTATCATAAAAAAGAAATTTAAGCTTAATAAAACTTTGTTAGAAACACCAATATGTGTGTTAGAGTTC